ATCAGTTTTTAGGCTTGCTTTCACTTTAATTTGCATATCTTTATAGCTGGTGTAATAACCAAAGTAATAATAATAGCTAATAAAAATGACAATGACACACAGACAAAACAAAAGCATTTATAAAAAGTAGCAAAATAAATTAAACTCCTGGTAATAAAATAATAATAATAACAATTTTACGTGATGTCTTTGTTCTCTATTATAAAAAGTTTCCCTTTTAGTGTCTGCTGCCAGCTCCTCCCACAGTTTCTGGATTCTTCTCTTTAATGTCACCAGGTATAAGAGATATGTATGAGGTCAACAGATCATCCATTTTGTGACCCTGAAAATCATATAAAATAATAATTATAAAGCACAGAGTACTGCATCTACAGAATCAACACAGGCAGGCTTGATCACATGCATTGCATGCATTGATCACATTTAATGCATCCATTGATCACATGTATTGCACTACATTTGCTGATTCTTACCAGAGGTGTTTCACAGAGCAGTCTAGTGCCTTTGATTTGGTTTCCTATAGTCATGTGAAAATAGTTAGACCCACAGCTCCAATTAGTGATCATAGTGAACGGATGAGTGGCCAGTATATCCTTTGATAATAAAACATATAATATTTATATCAATTATGTAATTTCAATTATTGTTATTACTTTATTTGCTGGGTCTATCAACATGACACCATTTTTATTAAGACCAATGAGTAAGATATCAGGTAGATGAGGCTCTGTTGTTTGCTATGATGTAATACAAAAAATATTTTGGGGAGTTTTTCTCTAGCATTGCTTACCCTGACTTCAAAGAATGCTGATCCAAAAGTTTCGCACCTGCTCACGTACTTGAGGAACTTATCTTTGCCTCTTCTGAAGATTTGGCATGATGACGACTGAAATTAGCAACAATGGCCTAAGTGAAAGAGAGGAAAAGGAGGAGAATAAAGTGGCAGTGTTGTGCTATTATTTTAATCACTCTTTTCCAGTCCTCTGGATGGAATTCCCTTAGCATGTCATGGGGTATCAGCTCATGCAACATTTGACTATAAAATAAGATGATTAAACTCAAAACGTGACGTACATATATCTTACGGTATTTCTCCAAAGTGGGATCTAGTGTCCCCAAACTTAACGCGATAAATATAAGAGCCAAGAAGAGCTGCATCATCTCGAGTACACTTGTGATAACCTCTCAGATACTTAGGGAGCTCCTAAAGCAATGAAATGAACATAATCAAGTACACGTATCTTGGCACTGTAACTTTATAGACACTCTAGTCTATCTCTCTGCTTTCTCATGTAATACCTGGTGATAGTGAAATATCACATCTGACTTTCTGTCTTTGCCTATGGTTATGTTTACAAACAGTTTCTTCATAAAGAAAATTTTGTAACTGAGATTAGAATTAGCTGAGGGAAAAAATTAACAAAAAACAATCAAAATGTTCTGTATGCTAACCATAAATACTTACCATCTTTGCTTTTAGCTCTCTTCAACCATTCGGTCAAATGACGCACGAAATCAAAAAAGAAGTCAGCCCCAGGTACACTGATAACCTTGTCTCCAATCTGTACGAATAAACTGAAACCTTCTTTGAACTTTAGACCAAGTCTCTCTACTATTGTTGCACATAAATCCCATGACCTTGTGCTTGAATCAATTTCAAAAACCTAAGGAATGTGCATAATGTCAGACCATGTACTGTATATCATCAAAAATGGCTAGGAGGAAATTCTCCATTTTATTGTTTTTTCTGATACATATACACGTTCTTATGTTGTGTATCAAGTTTGCTGATTCTGATCAAAATTGGATTTCTTATGAATTTTTAAAGTGAATCAAAAATTTGGCAGTAAGCCACAGTATTTCAAAGGTCAGTCTTCAAAAAAGTATTACTGTATTAAAGTTGCCGTGTGCATGTATGATTTATGGGCTATACCTCTCTAATGTATTTAGCACATGTAACTCTGGTGTGTGTGTGTGTGTGTGTCTGCCTGTGCATTTACCTGGCTTGAGTCATCAGGGAAGAACACTTTATAGAATATTTGCGTTGTCTTGTTTTGAATTACATCAACTTCAACCAAATGGGGTGGATATCGTCTAGCACCAGATCTATAAAAATAATAATAAGAATAATATCATTCCAATAAAAAAGGATGCTTT